GTTGTTCTTCTCGAGGAATGCGCATGCGGCCGAATAGGAGAAGGAATAAGAGCAACCGCGAACGTTGTTGTGAACGAAAAAATCACCTGTCTTTTCTTGGCCGAATTCCTCCAAAGGATCGGCCCAAAGGATATCGCACATAAGACCGTGGGTTGGGGGTTCGCGGAACCGGTCGATCTACCAACTGTTAGAGGCTATAAAGACTTCTATAGCTTATAGCTACATACCGCCATAATATCCTCGAGGGTGTGTAGCTCTGGACTGAGACCACCGTGGACACAGAAAAATTGCTTGTTCATGACCGCCGCTAGCGGCAGAGAACAGAAAGATTCCATGCAGGCCTCATATATGCGCTCGCTATACTTGTGCTTGCACTCCAGCTTGAAGGTAAAGTATTCTGTCAGGTGACTACATTCGTGGTTCCCACGCAGCAGCCAAAACGAATTCGGGTACCAGATCTTCAATGCCCAGAGATACAGAACACACTATAGAGAATTGTTAGAACCACCCATGTCAGCCGAAACTTATACGCACTTCAATGCTAAAGTAACCTCGATCAACGTAGTCCCCCAAGAATAAGTATCGTGTCTCAGAAGGGTCGCCGCCAACCTCAAATAGCTTCATTAAGTCGTAGTACTGGCCGTGGATATCGCCGCAAACTGTTAGGGGGGGCATCCATCTCCAGAAGATTTGGCTCCGAGCGCAGGATCTCACTACCGGCGTTGATTATCCAAAGCGCCTGGTCTTCGGTGAGCCGGCCCTCCCGATACAGGTGCTGCCTGAGGAACTGGAGGTCCGGCTTTGAGGGGTCTTCGAGGGACCAAAACAATTCATCCGATGGGGTGGTCATGGCCGGCGCTTGAGCCTCTAGCTTCCATATTCTTATCAATTATTCCATGGCTGTTAAGTTAGAGCGACCGGGTTGTTCGTGGAATTACCTTTTACCACTCGTTCGAGAGTCGACACCTGCGTGCCATCCTCCATTGTGTGCAATGAGAAATCGATTTCAGGAGCTGGCTTCTGGTCGGCCACCTCGCGCACTGGGTTGCGATCCATCTCGAGTGGTTATTGAAAATAGATTACGAGGGCTCGGAGACTAGAGTACGGGAGAGAGGGGAGGGGAGGTGGGGAGTATACCACGGAGAGGATGTGGTGGGTAGGCTCGGAGTGATGGGAAGGATGTCTCAACAACAGTGGGCGGGAAAGTCACAATGGAGATCTTTAGAGAAACGATACTGGAGGGATCATGAGTTGTTGAAATGTGGTAAAGAGTTGGGGGAAGAGAAAAGGGGATACGGTGTTGAAAATCCATTGAATATTTTGCTAGACATTCGTGTTATTGTGAGCTACAGTTGCCTACGAGATACGGAGTACTATGGGTCTACTTGAAATTAGTTTTACCACTTTTATTCTCTTTGGTTCCTAAACCTTGGCTATATCCACTTCGGTCTGCATACATTATATTTGGCTGTCGAATAAGAAAAAGGCAAGGAACATCGACTAACTATATTAGACTATAGTAGGCCTAGAGTTACTAAAAATAGTCTAAAAACTAATCAAACCAAAATGGTGGAATTGATTTCGATCTCTATGAGAGAGGAGAAGAGGCATCTTATAGGCGTCCGGCCAGGCAAGACGAAAAGCGAGGACTCCTACGAGGGACTGCAAAAGGGAGCCATTTTCGGCGTCCTTTTTCGTAGGTCCTCATATTCTAGTTGTAATAATATGGCTCGTCATGTGAGGGTGCCCGGGCCCTTCTACCTTTTAATATGTAAGACGGTTTCCCATGTCAGCCTCGTATTCTGGGCTGACCCCAGTGGTGAGGTGTTCTGCCCTTGTTACTTACTCCCCTGCGGCTTCATTCGTGCTGTTTCATTCATATCGCTGACCGACACCTCCAGCCCTAGGAGAATTGAAAACCCCGCGGGTGTCTGTTTAGACTCACACAAAGGCCCTCTGCGAACACTCATACTCGCCCTATTTAGTCTAGGTTGCTTCTTCGATGGTCCTGGTCAAACTTCCGTTGCGGACGAAATCCCTTTACTTATGGCTGCTGCATCGAGCCAGGCTGCCGTTCCGGATAAGATACCTGGTATAATGGGGGATTACGTGTAGGAGCATGAGCGAATTGGGAAGCGTGCACTTGGAGGATCTGTCCTGTTGACGGGCAAGCGGTTATATGTCTCTTATAAATGGAGTTTACAGGTATGGTGTAGTCTTGCCATTCTTTTTACTACCCTGAGAAAAAGAATGCCTGAATCAGTAAACAACCTGAGTATAATATACTTGTCATATAGTCTTGTGACGAAAGGTTCTGTTGCTGCTTTAACGGGTCTATCACATTTGCAAACGACTTGTATTCTTCATGATCCTCAAGGCGAATCCTCTGGCCCTCCGAAGGGTGCTGGATATGCCAAAACTGCGATCCAGTAGCTGTAAACCCAGTCTCGAATTTTGAGCCTATGCTCATAAGTTGCCGATCATCTCGCATAGGGGAACTTGATAATCAAATGGTGAAGGAATGTGAATGTTTAAACTTCACATAGTCATACAAAAACTTGTATTCTCAAGTAAAGACTACGCTGTAAGGCATGAACAAAGAGTTTGATTCTTCTATGTTTACTAAAATACCTACCAACAATATGAGTGGAAATTCTCTCATACGCGGCTGTTTGGCATATTAAATATCTCTTTCTCTCTTCTGCCTTTTTCCCTTCCTTTCCCTACATTTTTGACTTTCCAATATACTATAATTGATATAAAGGATTTATGTCTTCTCAGTTTCTATTATATTTGCTTATATAGGACTTTCCCTTCTTCTTTTTCTTCTCCTTCCCCCTATCTCTCACTTATTTCTGACCTTTTCACCTCACTTCAACTATTTCCTATATTATATTATATTCTCGGTTTCCTATGAGCAATATGAACCTACAGGCTCTCTAATACCCGGCTGTTAACCAGTAGATGGTCCTCTTCTCCTCTTCTCTTCTCCTCTCCTCCTCTCCTCCTTTCCTCCTTTCCTCCTTTCCATCTTTTCTCATCTTTGTCATTCTTCGCTTGTTTCTTTCCACTTTAATTTCACACCTCCTCTACCCACGTTACCGATGCGAGTCTACATCGATAACATGATGAAGTTGACAAAGACTACAAAGTGATCGGGACGCGAAGAGATTGACTAAGCCATTTGATATCTGATTTGGCTCTTCCTCCAGAAGTACCTGGGCGACAAGCGATGATTACTTTTGCCCATATGGATAGCAACACTATCCTTGTAGGTCACACCCTCCCAAATAAAATTAACGTTCTGGGGGTTCCAGACTCTACAGTTATCGAAATTGCAATCCTAACCACCGACACAGTCTAAAGACTCCTCAAATGGCCCTGCTGGCGCGCCTTTATTTAATTAAAGGGGGAAGTGGACCTTTTGCGCTGGAGGGCACGATGGCTACTGGGAATATGCCACTACACTCTATCAGAAGCCCTCTCAAGTTTTTGTTTAGGCTGCTAGGATCAGAACCACCGGTCAAAGTGCGAGGAGCCGGAGTTAGATCTTTGGCAGTGCCAGTAGGTTGAGACAAGAGGGCGCTGGTTGCAAGAGGGATTTGGGGATAGCTGGTTATGGAATAAGTTGGATGTGATGGCTGCTCGCTCTCAGCAAAGCTGCCCAGAAACAGATCCGCATGCCTCATGTTGACCCGAAAATCATTCATACGTCCGAAGTGACCCGATTCTCGGCTGTTTATTATTCAATGACCCCATTCTTCTTTCTTTCTTCTCTTCTCTCCACCATTCTTCATCTATTTTAATCTTCTATCTAAACCTACACATGAGGGATTTTTATCAAAAATTCCCTATCACTGCGTCTATCAGCTCATTCACGATGTCTCCCGTGAGTCTATACCGACATTATCTAGTGTGCCATAATTGACAAATATAGAACGAGAATCCCATTTTCCACAACAAAAGGACGAAAACCCATCTCCAAGTTACGGTGCCTGCTTGATGGAGGCTTCCACCGTGCATGCTAGCACTACGAGCCCACACGACGTTACCTCGTTAAGCCGCAGAGGAAGCTGAAGCCAAAGCTTACCAGCTGTAAGTTTAGCCTGGAATCTTGAACCTTTTACCAAGTATCCCGGTATAATCATGAACTAACGATAAAATAATACAGCGATCGGGAGCTGGATGGTATGACTCGATGGAAAAGCCACATAGTCATGGCTTCGTCACTTGATCAGTGACTACCACTATACCGAGTGGTGATTGACCCCAATACATAATCTGAGACCTTTCTACGGATGCCGGTATATCAGAGATTTGCGCTATTCTCTGCATAACTCGGGCCGACTTTTACAACCCATCTGCATAGTATAGTATTGGTTGCTACGGACCACAAGTAGCTGCGCTTATGCCCATGGTAAGATGATATTGAACTTTAGAATATCGAACCCAGAAGCACCATCACTTCAAACCATCCATTATACAAGACAGAACTTCCAGATCTCCCCGTGCTCTGGGGGTACGAGTAGACATGAGAATCTCTAGGTAGTTTCAGGCTTTTAGTTTACGATGTACCTCTTAAGGTATGGCGAGCTTCAAAGTACTCTGACGTAATGTATAAAAGGAATAATGCAATATGTATGTCAAACTATCGGTAAATGCAAAGATCCCTCTATCAACCAAATAACTGTAGGGTATTGTTGAGCTCTAACACCACACCAAATCCCGAATCAAAACACAAAACCAAGTGAGAACAGATTCGCCACGCTGATGCAAGTAGAAGAGAAAATAAAAACCCGAGATATGAAAGGACGGCGCCAAAACATGTACAGCCAAATGTCCATATGTTCAAGAGCACAGGGCCCAGGATGATGCGAAGAAAAATAACTGCAGGCCCATCCATCATAGGCACAGCGGGGAAATAAAAACAGGGGGAAAGAAATATGGGAATCAAGAAGTTAAGAATGTATATGCGAAGGAAGGATCACTTTTGTCCAAATTCACGGCCTGCGAGACCCAAGACCTTTCAGCACGACTCGCCTGCTTGTGCCGATAGATCCGATATCGCCAATGCTGCGGACTTTAGGCAAGGAGTGTGCAATCACGCTGCCATCGCCGATCTCAAATCGGTCGTCGGCATCGTGGTTGGGCGGCATGCTGAGTGCAAATTGGGGTGGGTTGTGGGAGCTAGAGCGGCGGGTCTTTTGAAGAACATCTGCAACCCAGGCTTCACCCTCTGGGCTCATGGATTCGTACCGAGCACGTGGTTTGGGACCAGCTAAACCAAGTGGCGTGGAGCGGGATTCGTTGGCCGTAGAGGTAGTAGCATTGTTGTTGGGGGAGTGTGCGTCGCCGACTGAATAGCCCGAAGACACTGAAAGGCGTCTGCCGGTCGAGGAAGGGAGAGGGGCGACGGTAGGCGGAGGTGAGGTGAAAGAGGATAGGTGACCTGTTGTCACTGCTCTGGTGCCCATTACATCAGATGCGGTTGAGGCTCGGCGTTTCTTGTGAACGGTAAGGGATGAGGGTGGGCGGGCACTGAGCACGGATGGTGGTCGGGAGGGGGTAGCCCGGCCGGAGGCAAGATGTGAGGTAGATGGGGTCAACATGGCACCCGGAGAAGCGTAAGACGGTGATGAACGTGTTTTTATACCCTGAACCTCCACACGGGGGGTTTCAGACACTTTGCGGCGACCATGATGAATGACATATTCGCGGAGGTATTCGCCGAGGTCGGCCCATCCACCGCCAACGCGAACCATCACTCGCTGTCCCTCTTCTCCAACGGTGCGAACGAAGAGTTTTGTCGGAGCGGACTGGCCCCCGTGATGGAGGTGATAGAGTTTGACACAGCTGTCCTCTGTCTTGTAGGCATGAGAGTGTCGTCTCCGGGAAGCGGGCATCAAGGTCAAAGAAGGTGCGGGAGTGTTGCTGCGTGTTGGACCAGTGGGGGATTCGGATCTGTACCGCGTTCGTCGGTCCAACGATGAGGATGACGAGGATGCGTCTGCTTCGTGGTTGGAGTCAACCAAGTGGATATGACCGGGCAACGAGTTGAGAATCGAGTTAATCTTTTCATCAAGCTGGTCTCGAGGTTCCTTGCTGTGTTTGTTTGGCGAGGAAGGGCGGAACCCGAAATCGGTGGGTTCGGACTCATGCTCTTCTACATAGGACAGCTCTTGTCTCTTCACACCCAGACTTTCAAGACTTGGATGGGCAGTCAGTCGCTGTCGCCAGCGGACAGACTTGGGCTGAAGAAGGTGTTCCATAGCTCTTCGGGCGGAATTCATTCCGAATGTCTTTTTGTTTCGCTCCGCTATTTTTGCCATCTCATTTTGAGTGTTCAAGTCACTTGCAGACTTTCCTCGGGAGAGTTGATGACGGCCGGTAGGGAGGCGTGGAACCGGTGGAATGGATGCAGATGTATCCTGGAATGTGATTTTGCTTCGTGTCTAGGATAATCAGTTAGCTATGGGCATATGATCAAATGGACAATGGCTTCACATACCTTTGGGGGTTTGGGAAAGTCGGTAGATGTAACAGAGCGTGTCCTAGTCCTGGACGGTTTCACACTCGCCACACCTGGCGCCGACTCGCTTCCCAGGCCCAACCCCAAGCGTTCGTTGATGAATCGCTCGAGGGGCAGGCTGACCGTGCGACTTTGTTGGAAACTGATGCGCGGGTCAGGCTTCTGGTTTTCCAAACGACGCAGGCGATCCTCTCTCAAAGTATAGTCCCCATGTGAAGGAGGCTGTATAGGTTCGGGGTGAGATGATGTCCCAAGAGGCGTTACACTAGAGGAATCAGTGCGCAGCTCAGGTATCTCGGGACTGGATATGAGAGAAGAATGGTCTGAAAGCAATGAGCCCACCGAGCCGGTAGATGTCCGACGACGATGCGTAATTTTGTGCGCTACTGTAACATCTTTGTCAAGACCAGGCTTCCCTGGGCGGAATTTGGAAAGTTTAATAGGGCTCTGTAACGGCTTGCGAACAGTCCGTTGACAGGGTTCTTCTTTCGCTTCATTATGTGGGTGGCGAGACTTGATGGGCGTAGGGTTTGAGCCTGACTTGGGTGATGCCACAAGCATGGGTATTTGGGAAACCCTGCCAGACGCTCTCGATTTCGGCACTCGGATTTCTGACCTGTTTGGTGTGAGGACCGGAGAAATAGTTGCTACTACTGGAGTATCACACTGGCTCTGTTCACTTGGCCCATTCAGGGATCCAGGATCTTGGGAAACAGGAGAAGTGGCAATTTTAGGCTCGGGATTGCCGTCGGTTGATTTGGACTGTGGAGAGGGTTGTTTTACCTCCTCAGCAGTGGTATTTTGTCTTTCATTGACCACGGTATCACGGGGCAAGTCTTTACAACCTGCGGGGGCATTCAGCTCTTCCGCGGCAGGTACGCCGGCAGAAACGACAACCTCAGGAAGTTGAACTTCCATTTCAGTCGCAGGGGAATCTTGAATGAAAGGATCTTCGGCCAGAGCACTACGCTCGGACAATGGACTCGTTCTTGCCGAAGCTTGGCTGGGGGGTGACACAGCTCCGTCAAGCTGTTGGAAGCCGGGCGGAGGAATATTTTCCTTGTTTTCCAAGGTGCGGTCAATTGCGCAGGGCGTATGTGCAATAGCCGGAAAGGGCTGCCGATTGATCGCAGGAGCTGGCGGAAAGTCGGACTGTGTTGGTGTGTCTAGGTCCTCTGCCACGACCACGGGTGTAAGATGTTCTTGTTTCTCTTCGATTGGAGACTTCAATAGAGGTATCGAGAGTTGTAGGTTTGGCGAAGCGTCTCCTTCCACACAGTCTGCAGGAAGAGGCGTCTCTTCGAGAGGCTCCATTGATTGTTCCACAGATTGTGGGCTAATTGGCCTTGCATCACCGGACGAGAGTTCAAGGCCACACTGAAGTTCAGGCTGATGTTCGACAGCCTGGGCCGCAGGAGAATCGAGATCATCCGCAGGTTTCGATACAGCTATATCGGGTGTTGGGTCCTGCCGTGTTTCCTTCAATGACTCTGCGCGCTGGAGGTCGGCTGCGTGCATCTCCGCCATTTCAGACTCGGCTTTTGAGCGCAACCACGCGTTGCGAACCTTGTATTTATCAGCCTCCACCACCCATACAGCAAAGTCAGACTCAATGGTTTCTAAGTCATCAATCCATTGTTCGGGCAAAGAATCCGGACGACCCTCTAACGCGTCGAGAACCCGGTCCATCCGCCTCCCCACACCCACAACTGCGGACTCCAGTTTAATATGATCGGCAGCTAAGGATGCATCGGAGAATTCGCTCGGGTCGGAGGCAGAAGAATGTGGGGTTCGCAAGGCGTGGAGGGACGAGTCAAGGGCGGAGCGGGTCAAGCTCAGCTCTCTAAGCAGACCAGGAATTTGGCGTAGGACAAAGATGCGAACTTCCCAAGTGGCAAGTAAGGCATTTAGTCGCGACAGATATGGGAGAGCTCGGAGAATGGTGGCGGTAATAACAGCTGTGAAGTCACTCAGCTGTACATAGCTAAGCGGCGGAGGCACAGACACACAGCTTGTGGCGGACGAGGGCCGAGACCTGGATGGAATGTGGGCATTCAAAACGTGTTCCTTTAATTCTTCCACGTTAAGATCGTCCATCCCATCGCGGATTTCATCGGCTCTCCTCTCGTATCCTTCGACCACGCTGGCTAACAAGCTCCCATAGTAACTTGCCTGGGTGTTACTAGGGGGAGCTAAGAGCCCCGAAGGGATGGGATTTTCCCCAGAGTGCGACTCAGATGGAGGAATGAAACCCATCCCAACCATCGCGTCGCGTTGACTTGGCCAATTCCATGATTGGACCTCTTTGTGCCACAAGTTCAAGTTCTGGGCAGCTACCGCCGCGCGTATCCCTAGGGCGCGTTCTGACGGCGACACCTGGGAGATGCTTCGCGAGAGGATATCATGAGCGGCTTGTTCGTTCAAAGGGACTGCGTCGGTCGATGTGAGGGCTTGGAGAGTTGATTCGGGAGAGAGGTTGCTGAGGAGAGGGTCGAGTTGCTGGTAGATGGAGCCAGGGATTCTTTCAAGGGAGGTTGAGCGCGAGTCATTTCGAGAGTGGGAGGGGGAGAGGCGGATGGAAGGTTGATTCGGATTTATTCGACTGGCCGCCATTCCGAATAGATGCTCAGCCTAAGTCGGGGGGAGGTAAAGTCACAGGGAGCCTCGACTGGCTCGAGGATGGCATGTAAGTGACGGACGTCGGAACGAGGGCGGGAAAGAGGACTGTCGAGCCCGCATGCTGAGACGCGCGTCTTAAGAAAGTGCAGAACTTGGCAAGCAATAAGCTCTTGAAAATACAGAAAATAAATGAAATGGAAAAATGATCGGAGGTTGACGAAGGAGGTCAAGGTACAAAGGTGAGAAGAAGCGAGGGAGTGCGGAGAGAGTGGATGGTGCTAAAGTGGGCACAAATGAGCGACAAGGAGCGAAAGACCGGCTTTCTGATCACAATTGATATCAAAAATATCAAAACAATAGTTTCGGAAGATTTTCTGAAGTTGAATTTATTTTGAAGTGGAGATCTGATCAGGGGAAAGGCCCTAGGTCTTTTTAGTGGAGTTGCCGATATGAACCATCGCCGGATGATCCGCCGGGGAAAAATAATACAACACTACGGAGTACAGTTGTTTAAATGGTCTATGCCGTACACATATGTACGTATATCTTGGATATCCAAAATTACAGCATATCGGAAGGTTGGAAAAAAAAGCAATTCTGCATGTTCAATTGACGAAAGAGAGAAAAAGAATTCCTGGAAGGGGAAACAAAGCTATTTGAAAATAGCTTCATCTATAGACGCAAGGAGTAATATTTAAATATTTGTCCAATTATTTCCTATATACTCCATATATACTCCGTAGCAGATATCGATATCATAAACTAAAACAAATTGCTTATTCGATCAATTTTCTACAATCACTATGCGGTCATGATGGCGTTGAACTGATGGCGCACATCCAAACCCTGAAATAGGGCCCGGGAATATCCCCGAGACTCTTCAGAATGGCAGAGCGGCAGAGCTGCAAAAGTATCTTCTGCCAAGTTAGTCGAACATCATCATGCAAGGGTTTCGCTATCGCCCAGAACTGATGGAGGGTCTTCCCGAGGCGCTCACTACAGAGCTCAAGAAATATGAAGATTGGTTCTTGCTTGAGCCACCTAAATTGAAGGCTATCACAGATCACTTTGCTCGGGAGCTGGAGAAAGGTCTTACCGTTGAAGGTGGATCTATTGTCAGTACCAATTGACCCAAGGCGATTTGCAAAGTAGATGCTAACGGGAATGGTGGCATGGATTCAAGCCTATGAACATCACATGGATCATGAGATACCCAACAGGCCAGGAGAAAGGACGCATTCTCACAGTTGACCTGGGAGGGACCAATATCCGTGTATGTGATGTCTGCCTTTCCGCCGGTAGGAGAGACTTTGAGCAACGTCAGAGGAAATACAAGCTTCCGGAGGAAGTCAAGATAACCACAAAAGAAGCCCTGTGGGGGTTTATTGCAGGCCGAATCGAGTCATTCCTCACTGAAAGTCACTGTGATATCAGTGCTTCAGACCCACTACCAATGGCGTTCACATTCTCGTTCCCAGTGGAGCAGAAATCCATCCGCAGTGGCGTTCTGCAGCGCTGGACCAAAAACTTCAATGTTTCTGGGGTGGTAGGGCATGATGTGGTACCTCAGCTGGAAGAGGAACTTGCAAAAAGGGTAAGCTCTTTTTGAATACCAAGAGAGTCGGAGCTGACCAAATTAGAAAATCCCAGTGAAACTGGTTGCGCTCATCAACGACACAGCGGGGACCCTTGTCGCCTCACGTTACCGGGATCCGCAGGTAAAGATTGGTAGCATTTTCAGCACTGGCTGCAATGCAGCATATATGGAAGAATGTCGGTTGATCCCAAAGTTGCGTGATTCGGGACTGCCGGAAGATGCAACCGTAATAATCAACACCGAGTACGGCTCCTTTGATAACGAGCGTAAGGTGCTGCCCTTAACTCCATTTGACCGCCAGATCGACGAGGAATCTGCCCATCCAGGCAGGCAGATCTATGAGAAAATGGTGGCTGGTTTGTACATAGGAGAAATGCTGCGTCTGGTGATGCTGAAAATGCATGAGGATGGCGTACTATTCAAGGGCCAAGATGTCTCGCGTCTTCGGACCGCGAACTCATTGGAGGCATCGTTTCTGTCTACTGTCGAGATGGACATGTCAGAAAGTCTGACCGACATGAAAGAAGAGTTCAAAGAAAGCCTCAATCTGGAACTCTCGCTAGACGAACTAAAAGCGTGCCGTCATCTTATTGGTCTGATCGCGATGCGTGCAGCGCGTCTCTACGCGTGTGGAATTGCGGCTATCTGCATGAAGAAAGGGATCCGTCAATGCCACGTTGGGGTTGATGGCTCAGTGTTCAGTAAATATAGTATGTTGAAAGGACGGGCAACCCAGGGTCTTCGTGATATTTTTGGTTGGGATTCAGGCATATTGGACTTGATTGCTCTAAACTCGGCCGAGGATGGGTCTGGAGTAGGAGCAGCTTTGGTTGCGAGTTTAACACTTGACCCGAGTGAGCTAAAAGATTGTAACATGGAGGAGATATAAAATTGAATGTCATCAAGCTGTTCTAAAGTTGTGAGAAGACTGGAAGTTGTAGATGTGAAGATCGTCATCTCTCCAGAGCGACCATAGACGATAGCGATAAGCACTTTTAGTTGAAGTCGATCCTCCTCCCTCCATCACCAACTCGCACAATGCGCTTCCGAACACAATTAAGAGACAGCAGGACCTTCTCCAGTAAGATTAATCGATAAAACAAAGGATCCATGCTAACTAAATCAGAGCTCACTGCGTCGTTGTCATCGCTGGGCAAGGTATGTTGGATGCGCCTGGAGTACGAGGTGATCCGCTTTACCATCATACCCGACCAAGGCACACAAGTGTGGGCATCAATACCAGTCGTATGCATAATAATACAAACCCTATCAATAATATGACCTATAAATTAACTGTTTCCCAGGGAACTATATTTGATGACACAACCTATGAGCTAGAGTCCAATTCCGACGCCATCAACATTGAAGTTAACATCAGCGTCCTAAACCGAGCCCTGCGCTCCGCTTGGGGCTCAACGCATTCACAACTCCGCCTAACTAAAAAAGACAAAACTCCTCTCTTGGCGCTAACCGTCCTCGCATCAGAATGGACAGAGGGAAACATGGCCTTGGCCACCAATAATGACGCAGATGGCTTTGGCGACGACGCAAACCCAGAACCACCAGCCGACACGACAGGCGATCGAGGACCACGCGAGCGCCAGACATGGATCACGCAAGAAATCCCGATCAAGATCCTCCACGAGTCAGCAGTCGATGGCCTGCACGAGCCGCACTGCCCAGACCCCGAAGTGCACATTATCCTACCCAACCTAGCGCAGTTAAAGAGCATATCCGATCGCTTCACGAAACTCGCATCCACAGACAGTAAAAGCCGACAGCCGGGTATGATGGCGCCCGAAGCCCCGGGGATGCACTCTGTTTCTTTTAGTGGGTCGGGCGCTAACACGGCTGCCACGGCACTGTCCACCAACTCGTCTCCCAAGCTAGAGTTATCTGCTAATATGCATGGCTCGCTACGACTGGCTATTGCTACGGATGAGCTACGTATCGCGAGTGTCTGGTCTGATCTCGTCAACCCGCCGTTGGACCCTGCGCAGATGACCCAGGAGCAGATGAGCCAGCTTCCAAGCGAGCTTAATCGGAAGCGGGAGGCGAGTGAGGGATTCGAGTCTGGTTGGGCTAAGGTGCGAATTGATGGAAAGGATTGGAGTCGGGTGCTCAGTATTGGGAGACTCAGTCCCAAAGTTGTTGCCTGTAAGTTGACCGATGATCCTTGGAATTGCCGCTCGATAGTGCAAGTGCTAACTCGGTTCCTCATGCGCTATGGTTAGGCTTCGTCAATGAAATGGCATTGGTTCTTTACGTTTATCTGCCAAGTAATCGGGATGGCGAGGAATCTTGTTTGACGGTGAGTTGACATTGTCCCAAAAATGCATCCATGCAACAACCAAGCCTTCTAACAATCATGTTTCAGTATTATATCAATTCATTCACCACATGATGCTGTGGTGAAATTTGAGCTACAATGTCCATATTCCAAAAGTTCAGGTGTTCAAAGGTCGGAATGAATTATTAGATATCGTTATTAAGACAAGTGCATGCCAAAAAGCCATGCAAGAAGAGACCTCCAGATCCAGAAAGTTCCAGCGAGCAACAAAATATCAAGCCAGAATAAAACAGCAAGGGGAGGAGGGTGATATACATAATGCCAGGAGTGCAAGCCCTTGACTCCATGGATGAGGTCGCGCCAAAGAACAACAAAGATCAAGCTATGTGCAAAAAGCAAGGCATCGGATGATGTTCAGTGAGCGAGAATGCAGAGAGACGGCGTGTCTGCCGGGGCAAGAAACAAGACACATGCAGGATGCTGGGGCAATGACAAATCTAGTAACAGGGGGTTGTATTATCGAAGGGTAGGGGGTAGGGGATGCGCTTCATCAAAGAAATCATGTTATAACAAATAGAAGACATAACAATGAAACAAACATAATGAAACAAAAGAAAAGGACATTATAGCACTTAGCTAGTCGGGAGACTAGTGAGCACTATAGTTATCATCGGCCATTCAGGTAGAGTGGGATGATTATTGAGCCATCACGTCAACGTAACGGCCCTTCTTCTTGCCACGAACCGTGTTGCCCTTTCGTGCCTGAGGCGCGCCGATCAAATCGTCGATTGAGCTAGCATGAGTCAAAGACGAAGAAGGCCGCGGCGGCGGGCCGCTGGAACTACCGGGCGGTGTTGGCATAGCCGCTCCCGTAGAAACGGAGCGAGGCGCGAGACCAGATAAGCCTGGGCTGGAGGACAAGAAAGGCGGGGCGGTGGTTGAGGAAGATTGAGGTCGGCTACCAGGGGCCGACATTGGGGGAACCGGAGGCATCGGAGGTGCACCGTTTGGTGGCATACTGCCCGAGCTCGCAGTCCGACTGGGGGAGCGGAGCCTCGAGGAGGAGGCGGGGTGGCATGGACGGGTGCGCTACTACCGGGATCTTTCTTGTTGACCCATTTCTTCAGATCCTTGTCGTAGTAAAAGGAGCTCTCTTCGCCAAGTTTAGCTCTGATGGGACCGCCGCCGGTGTTGTTTTCCTCTTTCTTGGCTCCGCCGAACCAACCACCAAACCAGCCCTTCTTGCCAGATTGTTGGGCATCCTTCTTGGCTATAGGGGGAATCGGATTAGCAAGTGAGTTAAGCAATAGGCGTTCTTTATACATACCATCTTCCTCGGCGGCTTTCGCGAACGCTTCGTTTGCTTTGCGGTCATTCTCCGCTTTTTGAATAGCCGCTGCCCGGGCAGCGAGATCATCATCGTCATCATCCATGATCGACTTCTTCTTCGGCTGCTCTGCGGTAGGTGGCAGATCCTCCTCCTGGGCAACAGAGCCCATGTCTCCACCAGCTGCAACCGGCTCATAAGAAACCGGTTCGTAGGAAACCGGTTCGTAAGATGAGCTGGCAACGGGAGGTGCGTAGGGTGACTCTGAGTCAGGCATACCAGGAGGGCCTTGGTAGTAGGGGGATTCGGTGGATGTGGCAGCCTGTCCTGGAGGCTGGTAAAAGAGGCCATTCACCATGGGCTGTGCGGCTGGAGGGGCTTCAGTGGGCGACATAGCTTCTTCTACCGGAGCAAGAGGAACATAAGAGGATTGAGGCGGTGTTGGTTGATACCCACCCGCGTTTGGCGACCCATACACTGGAGCTCCATAGGACATCTGTTGATCAATCGAGGGCGAGAGTTCTTGTGAGCTTCGACGTTGGCCAAAGGGCGGGAAGTAGGAAGCAGATCTCTGGGAATCCATCGAAGATCGGCCCTTGAACTGCTCAGGCGAGGCATTGGGCGCGTATTGGCCAGATGGGTGATACTTGGATGCGCCGCTGGTGGGAATAGGCTGCGCTCCTGCTCCTGCTCCAGGGTAAGAACCGTAGATATCAGATATAGAAGGTGAGCGGCTAATTGTTGGTGTGCCAGCCACGTTTGCAAAAGGACCAAATTCCGCTTGCTCGCCACCCTTGCCGGATCCAGTCGATGCAGCATCACTATCATCACCCACCACGAAGCTATTGAAACGAGCCCACATAGACCCCGAGACCTTCTCCATGCTTGGCCTCGAGATCCAAGAGCCACTATCGCTAGTTGTCTGGCGCAGACGTGCAGACAGCTCTTCAACTTCCGCGAAGAGGTGCTGGTGATAGTACGGCGAGGGACGAGTGGTTGCTTTCAATGCCGCTGCGACTGCATCGCAATAGCCTTGCGCTTCTAAGTTCCGACCCTTGTCTACGAGGCATCTGGCATTCAGGATCTTGAAAGCCAAGAGATGTGGCAGATGGGCTGTTGGACAGTTCCCGAGAACAGACGTAGCATACTCATAGGCCTCAGTCAGCAAAATAGCATCCTCGTCCATCAAGGAAGAAGGGCAACGCTGATGGTCAGCACCAAGGAGAGTGATGTTGGCCTTTGTATCGTCGGGGCCACCGAAAACCGCAGCACGCGAGAAGATGTAACAAATATGAGCCGCCTCTGTCCGCCCATAGGAAGTAAGCAGGTGGCCGAGGGAGAACAGGGCCTGGTGATCTTCAGAACTTCGGTTACTCAAAACCAGTCCTAAGGTGTCCCTCCACTTGTCTAAACCCTCCAGGGCATTCTTAGTAGAGCCCTGGCCATCGGCCTTGCTAATAAGTTGCAGACCTGCTCGGGCAGACGGAGGAACAAGCTCGTCGATACTTTCTTCAATATTGCCAGCAAAGATCTCATATAGGGCTGCAAGTGACTCGGTGTTTGCGGATTTAGACCTGACTTCGCGGCGGACAAACTCCTGCACAACCTGTTTCGAAATCGACCTGTCCATGGTGGATGAGATAATCATCGCATGTCCCCAAAGACGTCGATCAACAGCACTCCAGATGGCCTTCTCCCGATCGCCACAGATCAAGTGTAGGCGAAGCTCCTCCAACCACTGTGCATCAACGGCATCAGGCTGTGAAGGCATTTCTGAAGGGGTAAACCCTCCCGAGGCGGTTATACTGCTGGTGTATGATCCGTCTGCATCGGGGTTGGGTAGATTGGGGAAGATGATCTGGCGGAGAGACTTTTGAATTTCAGGCGAACTCTCTAGATTACCGTCATTCTCCACAAGAAGCTTGACAACCTTCCAGAGGAGAGTTTTTTCCTCCTGGCGTTTGTGCGTATCGGACTGAACCTGTTCGTAGCTTGGAAGATCTGAATGTTCAAAAGCTGCAATCTTGCTAGAAAGCCAGGCAATCAATTCCTTCTTCTTTGACTTTGCCTTGAGGGGCCCAGGGTGCTGGACAATGCTGTCAGCGGAGGGCAGCCATTCGCTCAGCTGGGAGATTTTCGGTTCACCGAGAGTCGGTTGGATCATTGGCGCCACTTGACCAGCGGAATAGCGAGGAATGTGCCTAGGGAAACAAGATACGACGGATCCACCGAACCCGAATTTGAAGATCGGAGCACCCTTCCATCGCTCCAGGGGATCATGTTCCTGCCCATCATTCGGAGCGATAAATTCAAGATGCTGCGTTGGAGCGCGGGTTTGAGAAGGAGCCAGCAGAGGGGCATACGGATTCACTATTTTAGTTGGCGAACCTGAAGCTTGCACCGAAGCTGGGCGTTGGAGGGTATCAACGCTCTGTCCGTAGGAACGGGGGCTCGTCAAGTCCCGGGCAGGTGACTGGGTCTGGGATCTGCGAAGTGGACCCATCTGGATATCGCTAGGGGGCGGGGACATATACACATTAGTCGCGGGAGCAGGAGGAGCCTGTTCCGGAGCCGGCGCGAGACGCTGGGCGAATTCATTGAGATATTCCTGAGGGGCATATCGACTTTGAGGCGGAGATGGCTGTACAGGCGAGCCGGCACTCTCTCGCCGGGGCAAGTTGGCAGAACCATTGAGATATTGGGGAGCACCAGGTGGGATTTGTCCAAAGCCAGCCCCTTGCCCGCGCGGCGGAGACAGATTGATCGCAGGCTCGAGAGATGGTGGCTTGTGAGATTGATCGGGCTGGTACGAAACCTTCTCATGGTGTGCAAGCGGACTTGACGTCCGTGGCTGGAAAGGCAAATTTTGGCCGGGAACATTAAGTGGCTGTGAGGCATAACGATTGCGAGCGGAAGAGGTAGTAGGGGGCGCAGGAGAATATCTCGGCAACGAAGGTGGCTTTGAGGGTGCTTGCAAGCCAGGCGGTTGGGGAGAATACCTTGCAACGGCAGGAGGCCCGGCTGGGGCACTCGATGCTAGGCTGGCATACGGATCCAACTGTTCCGGCGGCTGAAGTGTGGGTTGAATTGGGAGCGCGATAGGCTGCGAAGCGGGTGGCGCGGCAGGGGCATATTGCACCTGGGGAGGAGCAAGAGACGGCCCGGTCATCGTTGGTGCCACCTGCGGATTAGGGGTGTACCGACCAGAGCTGGCAGGCCTAGACCTTGGTGTCGCCAGAGGAAGTTCCTCGTAAAAATTCTTCGGTGCAGGGGGAGCAGACACAGCTGACGGGAGAGCTGCCGGAGTGGGGAAGCTAGATGATGCCGGAATCGGTACGCCAGAAACACCTGGGGGAGGAGGTGGGGGCATACTAGTCACCGTTGGAGGAACAGGCTTGTGGGTCACGACCGGCTTTCGGGGCCGTGAGATATCATCTGGAAGGTCGTAAGGAGATTTGTAACCCTGTTTTGACCGCTCAGCAAAGCTCTCTCCCCTGGTTGCCACGGGGTTCTGGGGTGGTTGTGAGAAGTATGATGACATGGCTCCGGTGGCTGGCGGCGCAGTTCCTGGGAGAGGAACACCCTGCAATAGATCACCAGTAGACGGTTGGTGGGGTGCATATATGTTAGGAACAGGTCTTGGCTGAGAAAAGGCCTGAGGGGCCTGGTATGGACTGTTCAAGCCAGCCGACAGGTCCTTATTCGCAGGCTCGGCAGGAGTTTGATGAATGTGCTCCTGTGCAGAGACAGACTGGGGGGGCTTCAGCCTCCAGCAGTAGATCGTCATCATCCAATGCCGCCTCCCAGCGAGCTGCCAGATCATCATCTGGTGAATCACCTAGCTCAGCTTCCCACCGCGCCGCTAGCTCTTCCTCGGAGGGATCGGCGGTTGGTTGGGGCTCCAACGATGCAGCCTTCAGGACATCATCAAACTGTGCCGCAGCCGAAGCGTCACTGACCGGGGAGTCAAGAGCAAACCCACTCGATTCCAAGACCTGAGACGTGCTCTTCCGGGCGAGATGAGCGACGGGTTGCTCCTCGGCCTCTTTCTTTGAAATAGAGGCGAAGAAATCCTCGTCGTCGTTCTTGGCCTCTGACTTTAGAGCGGAGCTGAAGAAGCCATCTGCATCATTTTCATCGTTGGAAAAAACGCTGTCAATAGATTTCTCTGCTTGCGCAGGGTGTTCGGGCGAACCCGGTGTAGACTCATCTAACAACGGGACCCCTTCCTCGAACCTGGACTCCGCTTCTGGCGGCGCAAAAATAGGCTTTGTCTGGCTGTTGAGTTGGCTAAAGAAGTCGCCCTCGTTGGAGTCGACTTCACCACTCAGCTCATTTGTCCAGAAAGGTTGATCATGAGCGGTTGTATCCACGTCCGCTGCGGCCAGATCTGGATGGACCTCGTTGGTCGGTGCAAAGGCTTCCACTGTTGGGGCTGGAGAATCCGTATTCTCGGATTCAACATTCATCGAGCGAGACACAAAATCAGGTTGCTCATTTTCGGTCGGGGAAATGGCCTGTTTGGTGGAGTTGAAGACATCAGTACTCTCTTCATCAAATGTCACAACCGTAAGTGCTGTGTCCTCTTGCGATGGGCGTACAGCTTCTTCGGCGGACTTTCGCTCATCGCTATCCTGGATGGGAGTAGAGTTTGAGGCGAACTCTGGGATAGTGTCCGAATTTTTGCTAAGCGGGGTAGCCTCTTCACCGGAGGGCAGCGTATTGCTAAGGTCCTTCTCAAAGGTGGCCCACGGGTCCTCAGAATCGGTATTCTCCTCATGTGTTTGTGGAAATAGTTCTTTAGTGGGGGTAGACTGAGTGGTATAGTCATGCTTAAAAGTGTCCAACGAAGGTTCAGGTGCCTTGGTTTGCTCCTCTCTTGAAAGTGTAGTCTCTCTCACAGATGTCGATTCCGGCGTGGTTTCTTGTTCGGGTGCGACAGTGGGAACGGCACTATCAAAGGTTTCGGTTTTAACTGAGGGTGGTGCATTTATATTTCTGGGGAAACTATTGCTAGCCTGCGCACCAGATTGGGTTGAAGGTGTTTCGGTCTCAACAGGCTGCGCGGGCTGAGTTTCTGGCGGGGTCGGGTTTAGGACGGCATCCGTATTCTGAGTAGATGGTGCGATATTTGTATGAGCCACTTCAATGCTCTCGTCGGGGATTTGAACGGTCTTATTGACGGAATCAGTGTCTAGGCACGCGTCCTGGTCCACCACTGGCGATGCATTGTTCACTAGCACGTCCAAGCTCGTGTATTGAGGCTGATTCGCGTCTATCTCGTCGGGCATATCCCACGCAGAGAAATCCTCACTCTGTGGAGATATGATATCGTCTAGGGACTTGTCCTTTGGCTCATCCGCCGCAGTCGGATCCGACAACCCACGCTGGACCGAGCTCATCGTAACAGGAGAGTGAATCTTCTCGGGCCGTGATGCCGGATTCCATGACTCTGAATCATTGTCGGTCGCTTGGTGCGCCATATGTGCAAAGTTCTTCTTGATTGCCAACGTGACTGGAGATGAGGAGCGCAGTCCGGAGGGACCAACCTGACACGTCTCCAATGACACCTCAGGAGATCAACAACCGTAAAGAAAAATGGGGGTCGGAAGGCGTCAACTTAAGGGTCCATTAAACGATGTAGATATAAAACAGAGCAGAAATAAACTCAAAGAAATAAATCGATCATGAATGCATCAGCTGATGGCAAAAGAAACCAAGCAGTTTGTCCTAGAATAATGCGACAGCGAAGGACGATCTCCGCCTATGATTATCCCGGGGAGCCAACCTAAGACGCTGAGTCATCAGGATTGCTGTTCTACAGGTCCGCGGGTGTTTGCCCGGCACCTGGGCACCTGATTCAACACAGCTTACCTAAGCTCTACGGGCGACCAAATGCGCCCAGATAACTGTCTGATTGGGTTAATATTGCCTGACAGTAATTTAAATCTACTCACTTTACAAGTAGTTAGTTATACAAGTAGTTAGTACCTACAGTCTCGGCAAAGTATTAACACCCTTCGCTACCGCCTTCCTAATTAGACTGACCGCCCATATATAATTAATCCTCATTGGTGGACAAATAACTGGCAGAAATATGGGGTGCTAACACTTTTGCGTAGTATCACTGTACATACATATGTAGGTACTTATCAACTTGCCTGGTCTACATGTGCTCTCCAAGTGCATTCGACTGATACTTTACAATTGTCTTCATCTAATAATTTTCTTACAAGGGTATACTCTATAGTAATTATATTGTGTTAGATCGGTTTTTATTCCCAAAGTATAAAACTAACACAACAGTAAGTATCAAAATCGTTTAAAAACCTGTATAAAAGACAAGAAAATCTGTATATACAAGTGATACTAAATAGAGCGTTGCATGTATATTTAGAGGATACACCTGTTTGAAAAAGAGAGATATCCTCATTTTCAGAGGTTAGCCGTACCATTTGGAAGTATCCATGGATGTATATAAAAGTATATATAAATTAAACATTCGGCCGTTTATAAAGCCTTATTATGACTTTTTTAAAATGTTTTTATGTATCTTTTCAGGTGTATACGAAGGCAGTAAAAAAAAAAAAAAGATTAACCTTTGATATTGAGGTTACATAGTGTAGCATACGGGTTGAAATTGGCTTCAGGAAGGCGGCAATGGGGGCTAGGAATTATCCAGTGACAGAGTCATATGCCGGATAGCATACTCCGTCGCCAAAAAAGCTCGGCTCTTCGGTGTCAACAACATCATCATCGTTGGGCTGACTATTAGACTGCATCTTAAATTCGAGCACAACTTCAGCACCTGGTATCACCCAATTGCGATAAAGAGGGGGGATTTGACATAGTTTTCATTATTTCGGTAAACAATTCGCCCACATTGCTCGATTTTCCACCCTCATGGGCTCAGATCCAAGTTCCAGTAGGTTCCTAGAAAAATCCCATATTGCCACACTGAATATCTTTTAGGTAACTGGCGGCTCGGGTGATGCGCTTCGATTTATGGAGTCTATAGAAGTGCTTAGTAACTAGGAATTTTTACCTACACTATGCAAATTCATGCAACTCGATTTCTCCAGGTGGTTTAATATAACAACGGTAGTAACGTCATATTGTAAAAATAATGCGCTAAAGAAGGTATGGAAATAAAATACGGTAAAAATATAGTAGGCTCACCGCATTAATCATAGCCCCGGGGTTAGTATAAACCCTACTCCGTACATACCTAGGTAGATGGAAGGTCCCGAATAGGAAAAACACAAACCTGTAATTCGGAGCAACAGATAGTCCGGCCGCTTTATGTTTAACCTTAAAACTGCCACATTATGTCAGCTATTAATCGCCCCGGGACCGTGAGTTATGCACTCATGTGATTGCGTGGCCCAACAGGCAGTCACCGACCGTCCTTGAATGAGTTTCAAAACAGTTCTCCGTTTTATATATTTCATAATTTTTGATGATTGGGGCTTTGGCTGTATTTTACACAAAGAAGCTTTTCGTTCCCTTTTTTGACCCCGGCAGCATCCCTCCACTCTTTCATCATTATGCTGCACATGCGTTTTGACCAATACCACCGCACATGACAACATATACTTGAGATGAACCTTTCTTTGATGCAAGGCCCAAAAGCACCACCTTCCAAAAAGCCAGCCATTGATTTGACTCGAACCACACCAGCTTTCCCATAATGCCTTCCTCATCCGATTACTTACACCCCCAAGACCACCCCGATGCGCCAGACGCTTTCTCGGACTCGGACGACGACTTGGATCTAGAAGAGCTAGATCCCAACACGACATCACCTCAACAGCCTCGTGAGTCTCGGGACTATACTGGCCGCAAAAGAAGCTATGGGCCGGGTATCGCGCTGCGCAACTTGCGTGTCGGAGCGGCAAGTCGGTGGAGACGCAGTGCATCCGGACGTGCAGACTTGGAGGATGATACAGAGGCGCTTTTAGAGAACGGGGAGGAACAAGGCTTGCGGGACTCACATGCAAGCTCTCGGAACTTGGAAGATGATGATGCGCCTCTCCTGGATCGCAGGGCCTCGACTCGCGATTTCAACGATGAGCCTCCCAAGATAGGCAGCCGCCTGCGCTTCCCAGGATTCAAGACTCCGGCCTTCCTGCAAGGTATATCAGCCCGATTTGGATCAAATAACAACCAGTCCGAGAGCCAACCTCCCCGTGAGGTACTTGTCGGGCAGTACCAGGCTGCTAAGTATCCAGCCAATGTGGTTTCGAATGCAAAATACACACCCTGGAGCTTCTTGCCAAGAACCCTTTACAACGAATTCTCCTTCTTTTTCAACATCTATTTCCTCTTTGTGGCCTTATCACAGGTCATCCCGGTACTACGAATTGGTTATATGTCGTCCTACATTGCCCCTTTAGCCTTTGTGGTTTCAATATCATTGGGCAAAGAGGCGCTTGATGATATTGGTCGTCGGCGACGAGATGCCGAAGCCAATGCGGAAGAATACTGCACTATAGCACTAGGAAGGTCCAACGTGACGGAGATCACAAAAAAGTCGCGAGACTTAAAGGTTGGTGATGTGCTCAAAGTCCGCAAAAACCAACGCCTTCCTGCCGATGTGGTGATTCTAAAGAGTATCTCAAATGACTCTGGCACTCCGCGTCATTCATTAACCCAAGAACCCATCCCTGGGGCGTCTTCCGACTTGCTCGAACCAGGTCAAGGATCGGTTGAACCCACAGCCAACACCACATCGAAGAGTGGTGAAGATGACGAAAATTCACCCGCAGGTGATACTTTCATCCGGACCGATCAACTGGATGGCGAAACTGATTGGAAGCTTCGTCTGCCCTCCATCCTATCTCAATCGCTCCCTCTGAGCGATTTAAATCGACTACAAATCACGGCTAGCGCTCCTGATAAGAGAGTCAACGAATTTGTGGGGACTATTGGGCTGGGACCGCCCACTGGATTCTACGATGCTCATGTTGACAAGTCGTCTGGGCCTCCAAACAACGAAGGAACGCCAGGGGGCCGGTAGAAAATCAATCAGCCCCCTTGACAATCGACAATACCGCCTGGGCTAACACTGTTCTTGCGTCTAATACCATCACCTACGCCGTCATCATCTATACCGGGTCTCAAACCCGGGCTTCACTTTCGACTTCCGCTTCCCGGTCAAAGATCGGCCTGTTAGAACTCGAAATCAACAACCTCACCAAAATTCTGTGCGCCCTCACATTTACTCTCTCGTTCATCCTTGTCGGGTTGCAAAGATTTGAACCAACAAACGACAAGAAATGGTACGTTGCGATCATGATCTATCTCATTCTCTTCTCCACGATCATTCCCATGAGTCTTCGAGTCAATCTAGACATGGCCAAGTCGGTATACGGGCGGTTCATCGAACGGGACAAAGACATTCCAGGAACGGTCGTCCGCACTAGTACAATCCCAGAAGATCTGGGAAGAATCGAATATCTGCTTTCAGATAAGACGGGAACATTGACCCAAAATGAGATGGAGCTCAAAAAGATCCACGTTGGCACTGTATCATACGCCAATGAGGCAATGGACGAAGTCGCCTCGTTTATTCGTCAGGCTTTTGCCTTTTCGGGCAATACATTGACCACTCCTTCGACTGTCTTTGGAACACAGGCCGGCCATGCCACAGCGCCGCGGACACGAAGAGAGATTGGTTCTCGCGTCCGGGATATTATCTTAGCGCTTGCTCTTTGTCATAACGTCACACCGACCACGGAGGAGGAAGATGGCCGGAAAGTGACAAGCTATCAAGCGTCATCGCCTGATGAAATTGCCATTATTCGATATACCGAAGAAGTCGGGTTAAAGCTAGCATATCGAGACAGACAAAGTATTGTCTTGGAGTCTACCGATTCGAAGCAGGTTGTGGTCCGGGCTCGAATTCTCGACATCTTCCCATTCACATCCGACTCCAAGCGAATGGGGATTATCGTCCAATTCGAGCACGATGAAAACATGCTTGAATCCGGCAAGGACGATAGTGAGATTTGGTTCTATCAGAAGGGTGCAGACACTGTCATGACAACTATTGTTGCAGCGAATGACTGGCTCGACGAGGAGACTACGAACATGGCTCGGGAAGGGTTGCGAACCCTCGTTGTTGGGCGCAAACGAATCTCCGCACAGCAATACCAGGATTTCTCTACTAAGTACAAACAAGCGTCACTGTCTTTCCAAGGGCGAGATGCGGGCATGGCGAAGGTTGTGAGCGAATACCTTGAACAAGATTTAGAGCTTTGCGGTGTGACAGGTGTGGAAGATCGGCTGCAGCGCGACGTCAAATCCTCTCTCGAGCTGTTACGCAACGCTGGTGTTAAGATCTGGATGCTGACTGGTGACAAAGTGGAGACAGCGCGTTGTGTCGCTATTTCTGCCAAATTGGTCTCCCGGGGCCAGTACATTCACACAGTCACCAAAGTCACAGACAAGTCGACTGCCCAAGAAGCTCTTGACTTCTTAC